TCGTCCCCTTTTTAAGAAAGGGGAGCCTGCTTGTTTCCTGAGTGTCTAAAGACTAGATAATTTTATGAAGGAGTATTACCAAAGCTTCTTACTTAGAGAAATAAGAATTGAGGAATGAAGGTTGCATAACTGTTTTTGACTTTTGAATTTCAGTAGCTGAATTAGACATTTTGGAAAAAGAGCTCCCTTGTTCAGAAACAGAACTTCATCCTTTTGGTTAAAGTGGGAGATCCTATAGTGCAGACACTCTCATGTAGCACCAAGTTGACAAGGGTATGAGGCATCCTAAAAATTTCTGAAGTTAAAAATCCTTATGAGTCACGAACAGTTTTAGAGCATGAGAATATGCATCTATGGGGAATTTTAAACTCGTACCCTTAACTGCAGAGTTCTTCAACATGATACTTTCAGAGCAAATTTGCACTGGTAATTTCTCTCTTTATCTGATGAAAAACCGAACCTGTAATGGTTTGCAGCAGTTATGCTGGAGCACCTCTCCAAGCTCTGAATACAATACACCATCAGCAATTTCCTCTGTCACGTTTCAGATTTTTAAGAAACAAGTCCCCTCTCAGAGGCAGAGAGAGACACTATAAAAAGCAGCAAGGCAAGAGCAGAGGAGGAGGAGAAGGAAGCATCAGTGCAGACTGATGTCAAGATTACAAAGCACAGCTATGCCAATGACAGCTGCTTTCACTTGGAAGAGGGTGGCAGCCTGTACTCACATGTAGAGCTCTCCTAGCAACTTGTGCACTGGCAGCAAGCAGGAAATATCCTGGATAATAACTTTCCCAGCAGCTTTGATGGGTCGGTTGTTGGCATCTGTCCCTTCCCGTTTGCTTTTCCATCTCCTTGATTTCTGCAGGACAAATGGTAGTGTATTACTAGGGAGCAGGGCAGCAGACCAGGAAACAATGCACTAGGGTCGAGAATAATGCAAGCAGCACCCAAACCTGCCTTTCAGAAGGCTCTGTGTTACCCTGGAAAACATCCATGACATGCCCAGGAGAACAAGCATCTCCATCTGTAGGAAGTGAAAAGCAGGTCAAGGCATCAGGACGCCAATCAAACCCAGGAAGGTTTGGCAGGAGGACTGTTCAATTATCGCTCTCATTAGAGATCTGGTCTGGGAACCTCTGAGCACAGATCAACACTAACTTCAGCCAAACCTCTGCACAGAAACATGTAGGAGGAAGCTTCTGTTTGCCATTAGCTTCAGGATAAGCTGACAGGTCCAGATGCTCTCTTGCGCTCTCTTCTCTCAAGCTCTGAGTACATGTCTATTTAGCACCAGGACAGGGCTCCCACCTCTCCTGCTTTATCAACAGCTTCAAACGAATAACTGGCAGATGATAAAGCAGGGCCCAGGTTTTCCCAGCAAGGATGCTCAGGTACCACACGCAGAGCACTTTACAGCTGGCTCAGGACATAAAGAGAGGGGAAAGAAAAACAGCAGAGGAATCAACACCAGTGAACAGAAACAAGAAGCCAAGATCCCAAATACTCCCCATAATAGGCACAGAGGTCATCTTATGCCAAGCTGCATAAAGCCACCTTGGCCATGTGAAACAAAACAGAGTATTTGGCAGGTATCCTGGCCTCTTCCAGCCATGCCCTAGGATGGTAACAAGGCGGGGGAAGAGAGGACATGCAGCAGCGTGACGGGCAGAAGGCACTGGGCATCTATTGAAGGAAGCACGGGCTGCTATGCAGGGCAGAAGAGCTTACTCGTGGCCGTCAGTTACGGAGGGCCTCCTACATGCACGTACGGGGGCGATTCCTATATCCTGTGCTAAGCAGAACTGTCCATTTGAAGAGGCCGGCAGAGCCGCCGGTGCCGAGCGCTCCGCAGGACAGGCCACGTCCGCTCAGACAAGCGTGGCGGTGCCTGGGGAGCAGGCTGGGCGGGAGGAAGGGCACAGCCAGGGCCTGCAAGAAGGTCACCTGGGGCGTGGGCACGAGTCGGGCCCTGCAAGGTCACCTGAGGCGTGGGCGAGAGCCGGGCTCTAGGGTGGCTGGTTGCCCACTTGGCCTTTGCCCAGGATTTTGCCATCTTGCGGGAACCTGAGCAGGCTTATCACAAACTACCTGAAAGAGCAAAAAAAGCAAAAAATAGGAATTTTAAGAAATTAATTCCTGCTTCACTGCCTGCCTGGTGGAAGCTTAGGCCAATGTGCTGATCACGGTTGACTAAACCGCTAGCGCTCGCCAGAAGCAGCAAAGCATACAGGTTTCCCACATTGCACTAGATGCTGCAGGTGACAGAGGCTCCGAGGCCTAAGCCCAGGCTTAACAGTAAGTGAAGGAAGCGTTTTAGACCTGAAGGAATTGAGGGTGGAATTCCCACCATTGCCCAGAGTAAAGAAAGAGGACCGAAGCTCACACACAGTCCAACACGCAGAAGTGCTCCACGCTGGTTGGGAAAAGAACCAGCACTCAGTGCTTTGGAAAAGATGGCTGACTGGGGCCTAACTGTTGGCTATACTCCCTCAAGGCCTAACCAAGCCAGGCAGGATTTGCTCTCAGTATTCATGTGCTACTTCATTCCGCCTGAGCAGGGGAAGGTGAGCTAGAACATGATCTGATAGCTGAAGCGAACTCCTCAGTTCCCTGATCAAGTCACTGTCTGGATCAGCTGTGACGCTCATCCAGGCAGGCAGGGACTATACCTCTTCAAAAATCCCTAGAAAGAGCTACCTCTTCCACGCTGGAGGACAGGGACCGTTACAACAACGGCCCCACACACCTGCAGTACCGTAGCCCCATTGCCTGAGAGAGCAGCCAAATGCTGTCTCCCGTGCGAGGTGAGGAGCTGCTGATGCTGTCAAAACCAAAACTTAAGTGAAGTAAGTTTGGGAACCCCAGCATGGTATCATGCCAGCAGAGCAAGAGTGCAGGCACGGCCCTGGAAGGGCTCGTGGGCTGCCCCCACAACACTGTCCCCCAAAAGCCTTCATTTGTGCTCCTACTGCCCCGGCATGCGGACCCAGGCATGCTGAGGCCCTCGGTGCCTTCTTCCCAGGAACAGATTCACCCTGCTCCTGCAGACTGAAGCAGCCTCCTGACAGGCATTTCAAAGGCTAGAAACACGGATAACACATAGCACTTTCCACAAGTCATTTAATCACTTATTGTTTTCAGAACGACGACAGATGAGGATGAGAATGGAGAAGAGATTTCCACCGCTCACTGCTCGCATGTCACCAGACAAATGAAGACACTAAATGTATCAGAGCCTTTTGAAAACTTGGAGTGACAACCAAATCTTCCTCATTTCTTCCTCCTAGAGCTGTGTGTTTACTGGCAGAAAGAGCAGCCCTAATTCTTTATTGGTGCAGCGCCAGGGTGGAGTTAGACAACAGCCATATGCCCTCAACCCTACACTTCCATGACCACCACTTCCTGCCCACAGAACTGTGATAGAAAAAAATCACAGGGCTACACATACAGTCATGATAAAAAAAAAAATCTCACTTTTTCTTTTAGAATTCATGTTTCACTCTGTTAGTTACAGCAACAAAATGCTGGGAAGAAAACCACAATCAGAAACATGGGAAGATTATCGAAGAGGTAAAGCTCATCACCTTTAGCAGCGGGGAGGATCCTTTTCAGATCAAATAATCATTGATGAGTTACCAGAGTACCTCTCCAGCAGGCAGTACTTGGGTACTTTTAACAGGGGTTAACAGAATCAAGGAAAGCTCTAATTTGAGCCTCTCCTGCCAAGATCCATCACACGGTTCCTCTCTCCCCTTCTGCTCCACCTCTTCTTCCAGGTAAATTTGCCACTATGACTTCATTGAAAAGCACCTGTGTGGATCACAGGCACCAGGACAGAACAAAAGATACGTCTCTTCCTGCGGGCTGGAGTGCAGGTCATGGAGGGGAGCAGGGAACATAAGGGTTGGAGCTAAAGCAGAAATCAACATGCATGCACCAAGCTAACTCTACTGACAGCTGAAGGTGGAAAACCAGAGGCCTTGTATATTGCCCCCAACATTTCTAGCTGTTTCTGCCATCTAGAATCCATGCCAGGGAGAACTGCACCTATCCAGCTGCTCCTGAGAGTTTAAGAGGGGAGCAAGAAAAGAAAGGAAACAGCTAGAGGGAGAGCAAATTAAGACTCATCAGTTCCTCAGAGCACCAGAAAGAAAGAAAGAAAGAACACAGCATTTATGACAGTCACAGGGTTGGAGGAAACAGCAGGGAACAGCACTGAATAACTACTAAAAAAGCCAGCCTGCACCTGCACTACTGTACCCAAGGCTGTAATTTGCTGCGATCTGAGGTGATAACGATGGCAGTAAATGGGTCACATATAGAAACAGACAGCCCAAGAATAAGCCACCAACTGCTTCGTAGCAACCACCATTATCACTGCATGCTCAGCAGAACTGGTTCGGAAACGCAGCCCTCCTGCTTGGAAAGGATGCTCCACACTTGGGTGTGTGTCTGCAGCTCCTGCTGAGGCAGGCAGGGCTTGCGGAGCACCAGGGAACGTGAAGAGCCTGTTTCACCAAAGCATACGCAAACTTGCCAGGTTCAGGGCATAAAGTGGTGTCAGCAGGACAAAGGGAAGGGCTGCGGAAAGAAAGGGACAGCCTCCATGCCAAAGATTAAGCAGCATTAAGGCATTTGCAAAATGAAAGGGTTAAATCTGCTCAAAACCAGGTTGAAACTGTTTCTAGGAGAAGTAGTTTTCCAGTAGTAAAACTACTATGTATGAAACTTGCTGCTTCCCTGCAAAGTTATCTTTTTGTACTCTCAACACGTGCCTACAGATTAATCCCCTGTGAAGGTGATGTGGCACAGTATGGAGTTTCTCTAAAAAATAATCAACATTTACTATTTGCAGCATCTCCCATAGTACCAGGCAACTTCCATAAAAGGGCTAGAAATATGAGGCACTTTGAGTCAGGCATCCCACAGCAGGAAATGTTCTTCAGAGCTTTCAGCAATTAGTAGCTGTGACATGCCCTGAAGCATGGACATTTCCAAATCGGAGGCCAGTCATTTTCTTGCAAGAAGAGATCATTTCTGCTTCTAGTCTTATAAGCTCTTGCTCTCCTGAGCGCATGGAGCACCCCTGCCTACCTGAACAATCCACGTCCTCCTTCGTGCACACCCATGTTGTCACCCTGGCCACTACTGCCCTCTTGCAGAGAGCACGGTTAGGCACTTCCAAAGACTCTCCACAAACAGAGTCTTTTGGGTTTTGACTAGCCTGCATCTCGTTTTTAGCTACGCTTTACACAGAACAATAGCTGCATCACACTGAAGTGAATAAGTGAATTAAAGTGTGGCCACTTGCATGCCACAATTCTCCACAGCAAAAGCTGGCACGTTTCTTGCTCAGTTATCCTGCTTGGAGTCAATTCCTGATTCAAGACAGAGCTTCATTTCTTGCCTCCACTGCTCACACTTCCTTATTAGCTCTTTGCAAAAAACCTTTCATGGAGTAAATTACTTCTGGTTTCTTTCACCAGTATAGTCTTAGAGCTGTAGTCATTGAGAAGGCCTGATTGTATTATACCAAGTTCAATTAGCTGTTATTGTATTCTATTTTATTCCCTGCTGTCTTATAAAGAGATAGCAGGAAGGTCAGCAGCTAAGAGAAACACAGTTGTTTGCATGGACATTAAGAACGTGGGACCTAAAGAGATCATCTTTAAGGTGAAGTTGAAATTGAAGTTTCTAGTGTTGCCTGCGCTTGACAGATGACTGATAAGACAACAATTGCCCAAATTTACAACACAGCTTGAGCAACGTTATGTCATGTTCACATGAAGTCTAAGCTTGAGGACATGTTGACTTGACTAATAAAAAATGCCTACGAAAGCAGTTGTGCAAGGACAAGTGCCAGGAGGAGGGAGTGCCTGCCAGGGCGGCTGCAACTGCAACTGCTCCAGCAGAATGCAGGGTGGTGCAATCCCAAGGGCTGGGGGAAGATCCCAAGTTAAGGGGAAATTCTATATTTTGCTCCAAAAAAAAAAAAAAAAAGGCAAGAGAAATTATGGTATACTGCACTGGGAACAGGCAGCTCATTTTAACGAGGTGACAGATTATTGTCAGCAACTCAGTTTGCTTCTTCCTCAGGTCTTAAGGATTGCCATGCCAGCCAGCGGCTTGCTGCTTCTTAATGCTATATTCCAGCAACTCCTCCTCCTCCAGCAGGGCTTCATTTTTTTCCCCACAAGTGAGACACTCTAATGCCAGTCTCAGCAGTTGGCTGATGATGCACGATAATCATTCAACCCCTCTGCAGTGCACTCTGCTTCATGAGAGGTTGATCCTCGCTTGCACTTACCCCTTGGCATCCTTTCCTGACTGCAAGGCCTGGGACGATGGGCATGTTCTAATTCAGGATTCGTAACCCTCAAACTAGCATCTGCTCCTGTGCGGACACACACGTGTGCCTGTGTCTGAAAGCTCTAAGCCCTGTATGGAGGGCAAGTCCCCCACCTTGGTGACCTGGTCTGTCTTCTGGTACAGATTCTGCTAGTGAAACAACCTCTTGTGCAGGTTACTCAAAGTCAGGTAGGTGGCACTTTATTCTTGGGCCCTTGGGCAGAAGACAGGGCTATATCAAGGACAGCATTAGCACAGCGCACAGTACCGGGAAGTCGTTAATTGCTTGTATGGACCAACGTCGCCGGGCAGAGCGAGGAGACATCTGTATGTGAAAACATTATACCCAAGAAAAGGGAAGAAACATACCAAGAAAATTAAAGACAAAGGTAAGTAAACTGAAACAAAAAGTGCCCTGAAGCAGCAAAGTAAAAGACATTATTCCCAACGGTTCTGTTACATAATGGACAGTTGCAAACCAATATTCCCCCTTTTCATCCATACACAATTGAAGGGTGCAGCATTACCTAAAGCTCTGGCAAAGCGTGGGTTGCTGTGTCTGTGCCTCTCGCTAGGCTCTGTGAGAAAGTTCAGTGACCACATGTATGAATAAAGGCTTCCACGCGGATTTTTATTGCTGCAACAAGCAGTGAACTGCAGCGAATTGGCGGCAGAGCGGAAGACAACACCTTGACGCTCCACACACCCCTGCTTGAAGCAGTTTCCTCCCTCCTGGCTGGCGACACGGGCAGCTAAGTGCCATACCAGTCACATCATTTCTAATGTAGCTACCCAGAACCATGGCACAGAAATCTGCAGCAAGCGGGGCAAATATTCCTGCTTCCTCAGACATCCCTTTAGAGTCCTGCATCCTCCAGGACTTTGTTCCCTAGAACCTGCTGCAACTGTTTACTGACATTTTAAACACTAAAAGGCAAATGGCAGGATATTTGGAAGGATCTAGAGACCCTGCTAGTTGGATGGGCAATGAGGAAATTGCTGTGACGGGTCGAGAAAATCATTCAAGTTGGGTTAGCAAGCAAATTCACTGGCTGACTATGCAGAATCACTCTCAAGTGCGCTTTCACTATGAATTTGTGTGCATTTAGGTACTCAAAACATATTTAACGCTAGTAAAAACAAATGGGATCTCTCATAGTACATTATCAGGCACTTACGTGAAAAAAAAAAATCTGTTACGCTTCTGTGAGAATCAATGCAATAAAAAGGGGAAGACCAGGATTATTAGTTTTTTGGCTCAATGTATTTGTATTTTCCATTTAGCTGACAACAGGGAGTCAGCCCCGTGAGCCGGACCTTGAGCCTCTCCTTTCCCTTGCATGTCGCTGCCAGGAGGAGCGAAGGCCCAAGCTCCACGTACGGACTGGCCAGCTGAGCAGCTCTGCAGAAGCAGAGCCCAGGAGCTCCCCATCCTGCTAACTGCCAGCGTCTGACTCCAAGGTTTCTAGATCCCAGGAACCACAGTGGTTCTTCTTTAAGAGGAATCCAGGTTCATAGAATCATAGAATGCTTAAGGTTGGAAGGGACCTCTAGAGATCATCTAGTCCAACCCCCCCCCCAAAAAAACCTGACGGCATTGCCATCAGTAGAGATACAGGCTCTCCTTTCTGCTGACTATTGTTCTGCAGTGTTTTGGTTTTTTGGGGGAAGAGAAGTGAAAAAGAGGGAGGAAGAAAGGAGGAGGGTGGTGGGTGATGTGTGTGTGCACGTGGACATGTGGATTGGACAGAAAAGCTCGACACAAGGTTTAGTTCCGGACTACTACAAAGATCTCTGGTGGTTTCACCAGCCTTTATGGGAACATAGGACTATTTTCTGACTAGCAACATGCAAGCTATATAAATATATATTTGTTAACGGTTAGCAATGCCAGTGGTTGTTGCTAGGGGATTTAGGTTTCAACACATAGTTTTCTAACAAATTCAGCTTTAGGGCTGAAGTTATATAACAGGATAATTGACCACACAAATTTTCAGTTTTTACTTAAAAAAAATGCATCAAATCATCTGAGCTTCAGAGCAAAGAGATACCAAGGCTCTTCTTTTTTTTTTTTTTAAAAAAAAAAGGTTTAAAATCACAGTAATGAAATGACATAAAAATACTTAGCATTGATCTAACAAAGGCTGAGAGATCAGCTCCTGAAGAGTCAGGAAATCTTTTTCCATGCTTTTATTGAAGAGAAACAGAGGTGTTTTTTTTTAATATTTCTTGAACTGGGTCCCTGCTGGGCCCTTTACTCTTCTAACACAGCCCATGAGGAGATAGCTTGGCAGGGGCAGGGGAATATAGGAATTGTTTCTGGCTTTCAATAGACATTGCTACACACATGCTCCATTCTGTAGATTTCCCCTGCCCTGATGAAAATCTTGTCACCATCAATACGAGGGTTGGGGAGAGAGGTCACATGAAATTGCACCGAGCTGCTTTCACACATTATTTTTAGCCTTGTCTCTCATCTTAGAGAGCTGCATGTCAGAGACAAGCACGCTGCAGAGGACAGAGGTAGCTCTTGAAATAAACTCCCTGCAAAGACTAGAACAGGCTGTAATTCTTGTACCAGGCACTGCCATTTTCTTTCCTCATCGTGAAAGTGTGTGTGGAATAAAAACAGGATGGGGCTCCATGGAACTTCGGGGGTCTGTGTGGAGACAAAGCTTTCCATGGGGATAGAGGCTCTTCCCACAGCTGGCAGATGGACTGACTCAGACCAGCCAAAAGCAGGACACAGCCCCAGAAGGTTCTGTTGTCATGTCCAAGACTACAGAATAAAACCTGAGACTTCCTTCAGTGCCAAGGAGAGATGAGAGCTCAGGGTTTCCATGCCCCGCTGCAGCAGAGTGCAGACAGCACTTGGTTTTCCTTGAGGGACCTGGAAACTCGGTCACTGCAGCGGACATGGACTGTCAACCCAGGGTAGGTCCTTGAAAGCCCTGAAGTCCCAGGCTCTCAGGGGAAGCAGCTTCCTGAATTTTTCTAGGCCATCCTGCATCCTCCTGCTGTAGCCCAGGGTTTGTTTCTGAGCGAGCTGCACAGCCCATTACTCCCACAGCACCTGCTCTGGGCACACTCGGCCTGTTCACGACTATCCGGCCACCCTACATTTAGCAACCCGTCTTCCCTTACGCCTGTCTCCCTGAAGGAAACAACCCCACTCTTGCCCCACGTCTAGCTCATACTCAGCAGTGCTCACAAGAACTTCACCTTAAACAGAGGTACATGGATTGGAAGCCCTTTGGGGCAGGATTCACAGAGGAATTACTTTTGTTTACAACAGTCCAAAGGGGGACATCTGCCTGAAAGACACCTGTAAAAGAAAGAACCCAAATATGCCCCGTAATCCAGGAGAAGCTGCCAGTAGGGTGTAGAGGGCCCCAAACCTTTGCAACCATGTACATCAGGAGTGCAAGGAAAGCAGACAGGCCTGTGTGTTTTTCTGGAGACTCTAAGTTAAGTGTGAGATTTCAACCCTACGTAACACAAGAGGAGACAGCGCAATGCACTGAAGGAAGCTCTGATGGTCAGTCTAGACAGATATCAAAATAAGCAGGTCAAATGCTAGAGAGGATTAGTAAAGAAGTTACCAGAAGGAGGTAAATCAATGTGACGTTTTTAGAGCTGCTTATAAAAGGGTTCCTTCTTGAGCAGAATATGAAGCTTCTGTTACTAGTTGACACTGTATAGCTGCAATGCTCTTATCCATACGAAAGGAACATGTCATTAAAGCCGAAGGGTGAAGGACGGATTTCTGGCCTAGTACTTACCCTCTCTTTGTAGTAGAAGGAGCTAATGGAGACCTGCTCCTTCTCGCTACGTGTGGGACTGCCACTGTACAAACGCAGATTGCCTGGAGTCTCCGTACGGATCTTCATTGGAGTAATGAGGCCACTATGGTACGCTGATAAAGCTGACAGGGACCTGGGAACAAGAGCATACACGTTCAGGAGCCTACATCCAAACTGTGGAGGACAGAAGGCTCGCACGAACAGCTCCAATAACCCATGCTGGTGTGTAGAAACAGGGTCTCCACTGAAAGCCAGTGAAGTAAGGGCCCAGCAAACACTAAACACCAGTAGTGCCAGGAGAGGATTGACATTTTCCTGCTTTTTCACGCACTGCTGTGCTCAGGTTGTGGTGTGACAGGGGCAGATGTCAGACGCAACACAGGGCACTCACCTGGGCGTGGGCTCCGTTGGAGACACAGCCCGGTGCATGGTCATGGGTCTTGTGAAATACACCAGGTACCCTGTGGAGACAGGACCCCGCATGACGGCCACGCTGCAGGGAGCCGCGTACCCGGTGCGCGTTCGGGTATTACAGCTGGTTGCCTGTCCAGTATCCTGAGCACTTCTAAACCACACGCAGACAACCACATTTTCTCAAGCCAAACACACTCCTTTCAAACTCTTCAATTTAAAGGGCATGTTTTGTGGAGGTGATGGTTTTAAAAATATCAAATCAAGTGGCTTTCAGGTGTTACAGAAAAGAAGGAAAAGGAGCAAAAACGGGTTCTTGAGTTTTAATTCTTCACCAGAATTTGTCATCACTCAGATGCTCCAGAGGGAAGCGTGGTGGTAAACACCTGTGCAGAGAAACTGTTATAGCTGGTAAGACTCTTCTCTTCAAAAGGATAACCCAAGCTATCTGAAGCTCAAACATATTCACAGACTTCATCCCACTTGCCAGCATCTCAAGTATCTTCAGCCACTCACTCTGCTACAAGAGCTCCTGGTTTCACTGAGCCTATTCAATGCACTATTCTGCTGCGCTTTTGCTGGAAAGCTGGGGTGGTCTATCGGAATATAAAGTAGCTTTTAAAACACACTCAAATTTACATGTGGTCAAGTCCAGAGGAGTCATGCTTGAATCTGAAACAGTTCAGTGAGACACAGCTGCTCTTATGCAGACCTTAGCCTCTTCCTTAAGGATGCTCTTTGCTCTATGTGCTCTCCTGGAAACCTGGACAACTGCATCCCAGCTCCTGTTGGGGGAATAGTCTCCCTATAATCCCACGGGAAAGTCATTTTGGACAAGGGGAAAAATGCAGAATGAAAAAGGAGTGGACAATAACACAAATACTGCTTCAGCAAAGAGCAAATTCACTCGTAAGTCACAGAAGCGTTCTGAAGACTGAGAGCCAGAGCATGCCCAGCAGTTTGATGCTGCTAAGAGGGAATTGCACAGGGAAATACTAAACTCCCAAACTTCTGCAAAAGAGAGGTCTGTTAATACATCTGGCATGCCACAAGCTAAAGGCCATCTGTCCCACTAGCCCTGGATTTCCAGATGGAGATGCTAAAATACTGCATGCAACAGCTACTGCAAGCAGTTACTAATATGGATGATTATGTATGAGGTTATCACAGTACCACCACTCCAACATAATTGCTTAATTTCTTGACCAAAGCCTTGTCTTGTTCAGATACAAGTATTCCCCAAGACACCAAAAGGATCATTCCCTTGGTAGGTTTTGAAATTTATCATTGATAAGGCTAACCTGCACCACAGAACCTGGCTCCAGAGGTCCGTGGAAATGGGATGTTAGAGTCCTGGTAGGATCCATAGGCATTGGAGACCCGTGCAAAGGTGGGCAAGGGGGGCGTTACGGAGTTCGACAAAGCGTAGGGATTGCTGGACGTACTGTCCTCTTGGTTCTGAAACAGAAGGTACCCCCGGTCACACTCCCTGCCACAGCAAGCAGCCCAGCTGGAACGCGGCGCACGGCAATGCCAGGAGCGCGGGCAGGAGCCGGCGCAGAGCAGGGCTGCTGGGTCCACGGCTGCCTGCGCAGAGCTGCGCTCCCCACACGGCTGGGCTGAAACTCAGAGCTCGGCCTAGGGGGAAACAACAGCCTCAAGGCAAGACGGTGTGGAAAATCTGACCTCCGCACTCTGCTGTTGTCTCTCGACAACAATGAAACAGGGAACTGGCTGAACGTGGTGCCCCAGTCATGTGAGTCGGGTAGAGCATCCTTAAAGAGGAACACCACAAATCCATGGGGTGGCAAATGCGATTTGGACATGTTGGAGTGAGGGAGGCAAGCAATATGAGCCAGGGGTGAAACAGCAGAAGACCTCAGGCCTGTCCAGAGGAATTTTGGCAGCAGTCAGCATGTATTTGGTGGAGCACTGCAGGTCAGGACTAAAGCAATTCTTTAAAGGCAGCAGCATCTTGCTCCAGTCAGATTTCTATAACATCAGTGAAAGTTCTCATTCTTAAAACAGTACAGCTGAATGCAAGCAGTGTTAAGATCAGCCATTCCATAAAAAGCCCTCATTTGTGACAAATAAACAAAGCCTCTTGGAAAAGAAAATTGAGAAGACTCCCTAGCCTTTTGTGAGTGCTAAAGCGCCCATCCCATTACACTCCACCCACAGACCCGACATCAGTATGGAAATGCCAAGTAAGTATCACAGATTTCTCAGCTAAGCGCAGAGCATGACTCTGATTTATCCACAGTGCCATCACTGCAAAACCTCAGCACGAGGATTCAACAAAAACAGATTTTTCACAACTTTGTTTAAAAAGAAGAAACACGCCTCCCCCCCCCCCCCAGAATAGAACTAGTGGGATCCTTGGCTAGAAATAGGGAGGCAGAGACATCTGCTAGTGCCTTCTAGAAAAGAATGAAACCACCAACTCCCTGAAGACTCCCCCATCTTCTTGCACAGCTGACACCCATGCCCTGAGTGATCTCCTCCTCTGAGGAGCTACCACACATTGCTAGGGTGTTCCAACCCACAGGAATTCCTGCTAGCGTGGATATTAGGGAGTATCCCAAGCTCCCTAAAGCAGCAAGCTTTCCGTGCCTGATTGTCAGAAACAAAACGTATCCGACTGCGTGCTGGGTCTTCTCCGACACTGACCACAAGTACTTACAGAAATGAGATGCCTAGCTACAAGGGTCTGTTTACGTCTAATGAGCCTGACTTGCATTGCAGAGTCAGATGCACAGGATGCAAGAGAAGACAAGGAACTAGGGCAGAAAACCCGTGCACTTCTCCATACCACAACAGACTCCAGCCAGGAGACCAGCTGACGGAGACAGGGTTCCAGGCAGCTCTGATTCCGCTTCACTTTCTGCAGAGAAGTGTCTTTCAGGATCTGGAACATATACGAGATACAGCTAGATTCATGGTTATATCCACACTTCCCACATTCTTTTGTGTTTGCAGAGGAGCAAAGCCACCAGGCTCCAGGGACCAGGAATGGTCAAAGCTGCTAGAGGCTGCAGTGCAAAGACATGCTGCCTGCTTTGAGGAAATACTGCCTGAATTATGAGTCAGGGCACTGAGAACAGTGATCCAGGCTTCCATTTCACTGTTCACAAGTCCCAAACTGGTTTGCAGCAGCAGAATCAGGCTCTTCCAGACAGAACCCTAAACTGATCTACCTGAGGTCAAACTCAGGCTTAAGCACCGAGTGGCAAGAGAAGACAGCGCTTGTTGCTGCAGAGGGGCCTTCAGCAGCAACAGGATTTCCTATGCCAATGATCAAACTCCCAGGCTGGAATTAGCAGAACCTGTGTAAAGACCCCAAATTTCAAAAGCAGTCTGTCGAAAGGGAGAAAAGGAATCAACATCCAAGCTCAGAAATGTTATATTTCTGCAGTTTAGTGTTTAGCTGGTCATTTTACCTATAATGACTGGATGTGTCTGCATGAGGAGGCCCCTGTTAGGGATCCTCTGGCCATACACATCACCAAGAGAAAGTAGCACTGGAGAACACGTGCTCAAAAAGCATCAGCCAAGAGAGGCTGATCAGGTCAAGGACTCATCCTAGCTGCAAGGTCAAAGACTCATCCTAGCAGTTCCATAGCTTCTAAGAGCTGAATCTGTGTTCTGCAGCAGGCCTTCAGCAGCTCACCCGGGCATTTGGGAGGCCAAACATTTTAACACGTCAGAAGCCTAGATCCCAGGTGATCAGACTGCATGTGTTCATACAGCCTGCATACTCTCCCCACACACCTTCAGCAGCTTTGCCTTCATCGAAGCAGTGATGGAGGTCGGGTTGATGAACTGGAAGGACGGTGCAGCGTTGTTGGGATACTGCACAGGGAACATCACCAGCATCCGCACCCTGTGATTGCCGCAGTGCACCGACACCGTGCAGCTACGATTCACTGCATCCATCTGTGTGGGCACAAACAAGTACTCTGTCGTTAGATCTCCAAGGACCTTTAAACCTAAGGAATGCCTTAAATTCATGTTGAGGGGCTGATTCCTCCACACACCCAGAAGACTACGTCATGCTGTTCGCATGGTCAGGGAAGACAGCAACAGCAAGAACATCAGGTAGAGACAGTCAGCATTGGCCAGCTGACTGCCAGCCCAACAGCCTGGAGATTATACCCAGTCCAGGCCAGCATGCCACGAGCTAAGGAACTGGACGGGGCATGGCGGGAAAGGAGACAGGCAGCTGCCTCAAGCCTCCCACGTCAGTACGGTGCTGGGCCTCCAGTCAAAAGCTTCCATGTACAGGAGGGTTTTCTGCACAAGGAAGATGCCAAAACTGAGGGCTCGGCAGACTGAGTTCAAAAGAAGTTGAAACTAGATGAGCTGCGAGTACTGGAACAAGTCACTTCCCATTCTGCAATCTAAGCAGAGAGGAAAATACGACCCAGCCTTCTTCGGATCAGAGTCAGTGTACTTACCATGCAGAAATATTTCCCCCATTCCCAGTGTCCGGGATTAAGCTCTTTCCTACTACCCCTGCCAAGAGAATCTCTATAGCCCAAAACAAACCTTGGTTAGATCCCGCAGTCACTCTGCAGCAAAGAGGTTCCCCTCAGACAGCTCTGATGAGCCAGTCCGCCCACATCCCCCTCCTACCCAGCCAGCACACAAATTCTCTACCTCTACATTGACGTTTCGGATCTGCACGTTGATCAGTGAAAACTCCTGCTGCAGTGTTTGAGGCAGCCCCAGTTGGTCTGTTTTCTTTCCCACTAGGAGATCATTCAGGAAATCTTCCTTTAAGGCTGTCAGGAAAGATGGAGTACAGGCTGAGACAAGGTAATAATATATGGTCCTTGCATGCAACACCAGGAGGCAGCCAAGAGAACAGCTTTTCCTCTGCTCTTCAGACACATGGAGGTATGAGTTTTACCCAGGAAAGACCTGCAAGCTGGATGTTCACAGCTGTTGTTTGGAGAAAGGCTTCAAAGTCCTTGTCTCTTTGAAGAAACAGAGCTAAACTGCAGCCTCTTGCTGTAGCAGGAAAGAACTGCTGCCAAAGCACTCTCCAGGAGCAGCTCCGGTCTTTGGGATTCACATCTCACTGATCTTGGCTTTCAGAAAGTGCTTGCAAACCAATCTAATAAAGGATTCAGGAGAGAAGTATTTCTGGGGCTAGGAGAGGTTCTAATTAATGTGCAGCAGCAGCAGCTTGCATGTAAAACTGCAAAGCAATCTAGTGAATAACCTTTCAAGACTTATCTAAATGCTAGATCTAGCTATTCAATTCTCCCATCACGGGTTTTCAGGAGGACAAGAACCTCTAAAAGTCAGGGGACATTTAAACAGCCAGACAAGTGCTGCAGGACACAAGGAATTAGGGTTACAAGCACAGTCTTACCGAGTTTCAGAAGAACTGGTCTCTACCCCTTATCATGCCCAGCTTGCCTTGACTTTTGCAATATCCTCCCATCAGGGTAGGGCCACCTCATCCTGAAGGGGCTTTTGCTGTGGCAGCTCTTCCCAAGGAGGCCCAAAGCAGCCTTTGATGATAGCTCCAAGGACACAAGGAAAGTCCTTGGACTGCTGCCATTCCCCCCCTTGATATTTTACAGACTATTTCAAGAGGAGGAGTGGTGCAAACGTTTGTCCTTTTACAAGAGTTTACCTGAGAGTTACTGACTGCTACTGGGACAAAGCATATCTGGCTTTACTGCTGCCCAGCTGGCTGCTGATTTGACTAGGCAGGATGCTTAGCCCCTCATTCCTATTTATGATTTTATTATATTGCTTAGATAGACTTCACAACAGGGAGCTGAAAGAAAAAGGATTAAAAGAATACCCTTAGCTACTAGAGAAGATAATGATTATCTCTAGCCCAAGGCACAATATAACCATCTCTTGAACTGGTATGACAGTACAGAAGGTGCCCTCCCTTCCTCTTCCCATTCCCCCCATTCCCTTCCAATTAGTTTTAATCCTCAAAAGCTTAGATATTTATCTAGATTTCTAAGAATCTTTTATAGACAACAGCCTGTAGGGAGAGTTTTATACTGAAAACACGGTCGGTGAACCCTCTGACTTATCTGCAGAGCCCTGCTTTCTACAGAGATCCCCCAAAGTGTTTTACTTACATAACATGGAGACTAGGCTGCTGAAATGAAGCCACCTCCAGAGCAAACAGCAGTGCTTCAGTGCACATCAGTAGCCCACAACAGGTTTTAGGCTTCAAAAGACTCCAATTCCTACCAAGAGACTTACTCGTGCAGTCAGTATCTGCAGCAAAATCTACTCTGCTACAGAAAAATAATTTTAATTCCTTTTTGTTGCAAAGGAAACCTCACCAGAGAGAACTAAACCCAAACACTGTCCTCATAAAGGAGAGCGTAAGAGCTAACTCTGGAGAAAGCCATGGAAAAAGAGAGATCAGACAGCTGGAATGAGAACACTTACGGCTGGTTCCCGGCAGAGCAAGAGACACTCTGCGTCCACGCAGTGCTGTGCACGACGGTGCCTTACAGTGCCTTACCCATTCACCCTCTTCCTCCATGGGGCTCACTTCTCAGCTTAAACTGAATTCTTAAGAGGCAGAATTGACTTTCTGGTTATCTATATTTTTTTTTTTCAGCAGCAAGAAATAACTATGACCCAAAGACAGTGAAACTAGAAGCAACTAGTGGCAGGGGAACATATGTTTTACAGTTAGGATGATTATGATCTTGCTACAAAACAAAACAAAAACAACCTTTTTGATAGGACCACCCTATCCTTGACTTCCTCCCTCTTCCCAAACTGGGTGTCCATTAACCCCTGAAAGATAATCAAATTGTGCTTTGCCTAATGCAGTATTTTCTTTGCCAAGATGCTTCTTGCTCACAACACTGGAAGAGGCGGTGGGTGAAGCTCCGCGAGCCATCGCTTTCCTACCTTCTTCATCCGCGTGCCCAGGGTTATGCTGGGGCTCTGAGTCCTGGGGGTGAAGGCTCTTGTCTGGCTCTGGCAGAAGAGAAATCCCATCGATGAGCTCCTCGACTCCGTCCAGGATATCATTAGCACACAGCTGGAAAGAACAAGCACAGACACATGCTGCACAACAGGCGACCAAATTGGAAAGGGGCCATCACCAAACGACTTGCTTCTCCAGGGAGCTGCATTTGCAAGGTAGGTCTGGCCGTGCAACAGGCACAGCTTTAAGACCCTGGCACAGTTTCTGTGACAAAGACAGGTTATTTTCCATTTTCCTGATCTCTGTCCCTCAGTCAGCCTGCAAATGGTCACTTACAAACCCCCTCATTGACAAGACCAGTTACAGCAGCAGAGATTTTACTTGAATCTAAACTAAAGGTGATTTGCCTTTTGTAATTACTTGAATTAGTGTGCTGCATCAAATCTTGTTTCATTTTTAGATCAGATATGATAGTAGCATGTTCTTTACTTTTTATATTTACACTGCAATAAGATCTAGAGGCCTGGATATATATTAATGGCCCAGATCTGTATCAAAAAGAGAGACCATGAAAATTTGTGTTTAAAGTTTAGCCACAAGAAAACAGAGAGGATGAGGAGAACAAGCTTGGGGAGAAGGAAGAATAAGACTGTGACATAGCAAAGTGCAGCCTTGTTCACAGGCATTGCACCGTTATGTGCCTAGCTTGATCAAGACAAAGACAAGGAACAAAAACGGGGGTGGAGAGGCAGGGCCAAGGAGGAGTTAAGGCTCTTATACAAATAAACAATGGTTTAAAGATAGGGAAGTAGTTGTTACAAATATATCAGACAAGCACAAAGAGTTATTTTTCATGGGGGAAGTGGGTTACAGACCTGCAGGACTCGTGCAGGATCTGTGCTGGGACACATGCGTCTCAACATAGTCATTAAAAACCTGGAATAGGAGGTGAATAGTGACGTGACCAAGTTTGCTGATGCACCAAGTTGCTCAGGGTAACAACAAGAGCGTCCGACTGCAAACAAGCTAGACGGACCTTGTGAGAGTGACTGTATTTAGGATGGAAGAGGAATTTCAATACAGATAAACATGAAGTAATGAATAAAGGGAAAAATGGCAAATACCGACTGAGAATATATAGGGGTGAAACTAAGCTGATGTTTTCTTTGAACTATGCCCAAAAATCTAAAAAGAAAAAAAAAAAGAAGAGGAAACAAAGTTCTGACTCCCATAACAAAAAGTATAATGGAATTGGAAAAAAGTCAGGAAAGGCAACATAGAGAATCAGAGTTGTCATGCAAGGGATGAAGTTCAGACCTTTTAACTCCGAAAAGGACAAAAATTGAGGGGTTTGTTGAAGGTCTACGGAATCAAGAGTAGCACAGAGGGTGGTACAGGGTGGCTGCTTATTTCATCTTCCAATGTATGAACTAGGATGCATCAGATGAAACTTAAAGGTAGAAAAGACAAAAATTCAAAGGAAAAGAGCTGTTTGTTCCATGCAGCACGGAGACAAGCTGCAAAACAACTTGTCACGGGATGTTTAAGATAATACAAAATTTACACAGGTTGAAGGAAAAAATGGGACAAGCCTACGGAAGAGAAGTTCACCAAGCTCTATCAAATACAAACGTAGAAAGCTGAGGAAATCTCTAAGCTGAAAACTACTGGAGACTGGGAGGGTATGTGAGAGAAGTGTCACTACACACTTGCCACGTTCTTATACGGTTCCAAGATATCCCTGGCTAAAGATGGGACAGATGGGCCAGCACGGGCCACCCTGGCTATAGGAAACCTTGGTCCCACCCAGCTGTTCTACTATTCGCATTAGCAATTGGTAACAGGATTCACACTGCCTGCACCAGGGCCAAGAGGGGGGCACAATGCCTACGCTTACCTGCTACCTAGAACAAGGGAAAAAAGGAGAGAAAAAAAAAAAAGTCCTTCAGCCATGGAGGTGGCATCTGCAGAGGCCATGCAAACAACTGCTCTCCACCCTTCCTAAAGGACTTGCACACTCCTGTTGCACCACATAGTGGTCTTGTACCTCTGGGGAAGCTTTCGAGACACACAGATCTGGAGCACAGAGCTGGCCTGGAGCTGAAGAGGAAGCTGGGTGCTGTGTCTGCAGCTCCAGGAGGCAGGAGTGACCAGGAATGCAAAGAATGGGAGGCGACTCCAGCCTGTAACTGCCACCTTCAAGAGAAGTGTTTACGCACCCTCTGCAGCTGAGAATCAATCCGCCACATGCGCAGGGTCTGATCACGGGACCACGTAACCAGCTGGTAGTCTTTAGAACCTGTAAAGGACAGAAACAGAAGAAAATAGATCATCTCAACCCTGCATTTGGTGCAGACTGCAGCGAGCCACCGGGGAGTCCAGCGAACCAGGCGCCAGACTGGAAAGCAGAACTCGAGTCCTGCTCTGCTTGGCACCGACTTACACGCAACAGCCCTTATCCCTACCCATGCCACAGTTACCTCTCATTTATACAGGGAATGGGTTGCAGGTGAAGAGCGCAAGGGAAAAACAGTGAATGTGATGGATCTGGAATGAACAAGACCTACTACAATATCCATTTGAACAGAAGAAAAAACATAGCTGAGAAATGGATTTATATTTAAAACAACTGTTAAGTCAAACTATGTTTTAGTGTTTTAGTTCACATTAGATGCTTAATGCAAATACCTTAAAAACTTTCTAAGCTAAGCATAGCTGGTTCTTGCTTTCCCCCTTTTCCTTCGGGAAGATCTGGAAGTTGCCAAGCTAAGGTCTGATGTAATAAAATGGATCAAGTCACTATCTATCAGTACACAAAGATACACAGCCTTGTTTGTCTAGGACACAGCTAAAGCTTCTTGTGTCGAATAACTGCTGCAGTTTAAGAGTTTGTAACTGCACGGCTGCTTCCTACCTCTCTCAGCAGAGACACCGTGGCTGTCCACTTCAGCACAGCAGACTTTGGGGAAGGGTATTTGAGCTCTCCTGGTAGTCTCTGCACCCAAGTGGCCTCAGAATGCTCATGTGATTGAGTCACCTTGCTTAAGACCATGGCTACCAGCTCTGCATATTTATATATTAACTTAGCTGAGGCAACGCAATTAGGGTTTAAGCCTGTTTGGACATTTGCACATGAGCTCTCTTACCCTGTGCCTCCAGTTACCAGCATGGGTCTGTACTGTCCTCCTCTTGCAAAAAGGAAAGGCAAAGCACAGAGAAAAGCAACTTAACCAAATTGCCTCAGCGGCTGGCGGCAAAGGGGGACCAGACGCCTGCTGTCCTAAATCCCAGTCCAGTGCTCTGTCACCTTCACCACTGATAACTCGTAAGGACACAGGCTCCAAGGGCAGAGAACATCCCTGAACACCCCTGAGAGGCAGCAGGGAGCCCCAGGTACAGACAGCTCCATAGGACAGAGATGGACTCAACCTACAGCCAAGTTGTGCTCGGTGTGGTTATGCAGACTCTAGTATGGGATTTCCCATATTTAACTGCCTACAGTGGAAAATGTAGCCAGGACTGAACTCCAAGAGCAGCCTCTGCATCCCACCGTCACCAGCACGCAGACAAGGCTGCTTCACTGCAGGCTGCTTTTGCTGCCTGAGCCTGCTTGACCCCAGATCTTACATGAAGGGTTAACCAGTTAGGCAGGCAGCTCCAAACAGGGGGAGGTTCCCATCTAACAGCTTGCACCAGTCCTCCTGAAAGATCTATTTAAAACTACCCTCAGAGGAAAGCGGAAACAATTAGAGTCGCTGTGGACCCACTCAGCATTCAATGGATTTGCTTTTAGCAAAACAGTAATAAAAAAAAAAATCCTGGCATGGAAACAAGAAGGCAATGTTTCTGTGGCCAGTGCTATCAAACAAGTACAAAACAGCTGTTATCTTGTGGGACCAGGAAAGCGGGCGAGAGCTACGTCAAGGAAAGGCAAGGGTAGAAGGATGACAGCACAAGCGCTGCGGTTAGGAACCTCACACCCCGGGCAAGCTGACGGCAGCCGGCACATGCAGCCTCAAACTCACCTTCCTTCTGCTTCCTCCACTGGAACTCCAGCACCACGTCATCGTGCCCCACAAACGTGTGGACGGGCGTGTTCAAATCAAAGACGTTCCAGAGAAGGAGACTGTTCTCCCTGCGGAGCTGCGGGACCATCACTGTCACCAGCCCGTTGCTGAAAGGCTTAAGAGAGAAAGAGCCTTTTGTTCAGTCCTGGGGAGTTACAGGCATCTTCCTCAATCCTTCCCCTTTCATGCTAAGGAGGATACCCGGGCTCTAACGGAGCTCAGCACTGAACAGAAGCAGACTCAGGATGAGGGCAGAGGGGTGAGGGGTTGTTCAAGGCCACTGCCACCTGCACGGGGGTTGTTTCCCTGCAAGAGGGCTATGCCAAAGACTGGCAGCTCACACTGCTAGCAGTTCTTTCCCCACCGAGTGCCCCATCAAGGACTACGGTGTTCTAGACCTTTTAAGCACTAAGATGGATTTAAAAACCAAGTTAATAATGCCCAGCAGCAGAAGCAGTGAGCAGCCCTCCAGCAGTTCTTACTTAATGTCCCGTTGCGCATTTAGTCTCACAGCACAGACACGGCTAGCGGGCGGTTCGCACTCACCGTGTATCTCGCCTTCCAGACTGGAACCTGGCAGGGCAGGATATTGAGGTATTTCCGAGGTTGACGGTAATCCCAGAACTTCAACAAACCAAAAGGACAGGCTGAGGCAGGCGTCAGCTGGCTATACTTTCAGGCTGCTGTTTCCACGTGGCGCTCAGATACAGGAGAGTCACAAACACGCCGGCATTCTCATTCATTAGCAGCAGAGATGGCCCCAAAGGATGAACATCGAGCTATGGGCATCTGGCAGCATCTTAGACAGGGACTTGGGGTCATGGTGACCGTGATCTTATTAGCTTCAGTAATTAGAGCAGGGAGACAGGCAGCCTGCTGAGGCTTTCCAAGCTACCAGGTACCCTGCAGGCTTCCAGCCAAGGTGCCACTCCAGGCTGGAGGCACATCCACTCCGCTGTTACTGTGGATTTTGTCATGAAGAACCTAACCCTTTGCTTTGCTGGAAAACACATGAATTGCACTCACCTCTGAGCTTAGCTAAGTGTGAATAAACTCGGTCTGGTCGACAGATACCAAACACACCATTTCCCCTGAGGTAAAAGGCTCTGTGTAGTAACACTAGCAGGCAAGTTCTTACTGGTAACCCGACTTAACACAAATTTAGGAACCTCAGGGGCTGGCATATTTCTCCTGCCAAGCTGCTGCAGTCAGCCTGAGGCTGGCATCACTGATTCTGGGGAGAAGACTCTTCTGGTATACGTGGCCAGCTCCCTTCTGGCAAGCAACAAGAAGAGGTGGCTGTTTTCAGTTTCAGCACTGCCCAAACCATCAGAGCTTGTTAGCTATAGTAAACATCCACCCATCCATCCATCCACTCATCCATCCATCCATCCATCCTCCAATGACTTCTCCGCTTGCTCCGTTAAACGCATCCCTGGGTCAACTCACACACAGGCCAAAAACAAAACAAACAATCCAGTTCTGGATGCACTCCCAAAGATTTCAGTAACAGTGGAAAGGAACCTGCATCACCATCCTGGCATCTTCCAAGTAGGAGGCCCAGAAGCAACACTCACCCTGACAGAGTTGTCCTGGCTGGAGGTGGCCAGCATATATTCATTGTCGGGATGCCAATCCAATCCATGGATTTTAGAGAGATGAGCTGCCAAGTATTCCACTGCTGTGCTGGGTTTCTGCAAGGAGAGACGGTTCCCATCTCACCACCGGACTCCTGAAATTTGGTCTAGTTCTTTGGTGTAAAAAGATACACTTACAAGGGCAAGAGTCACCTGCTGGGGCAGGGCTAATAGCTCAGCAAGAGCAGGTGAAGGAAAGGTCCTGTCAAAGGTGGTGGCAAATTCCAGAGTCACTAAGTACTGCCCTGAACCATACTTTACACTCAGTAAGACTTAAGTATATTGAGATGAAAGCCAAAATGTTAATGGGCACAAGTTCTGGGGAAGGAGGCTCTATGCTCTCTTCAGTCTCCTGGGCCCACAAGTGTTTCTATTTCTACTTTTAAACAGAGATGAGAGATGATGTGCATTTTTCTGCATTTTTTTAAATCTGCAACCACGGAGATGTCTGTATCTGTTAAGCAGGTATATGCACAGGCTGCTCAAGACACCCTTCAACTCACCCTCTTGTCCCATATTCGGACATCCCCATCATGGCTGGTCGCTAAGCAGTTGGCGTTTTTCTTGTTCCATTTGACCTGGGAAGCTCCAGCTGCAACACAACAGAGCAGGTCAAACCAATCCTTTAAAAAGAGACACAGCAGAGCCTTGACCTGTCAGCAAAGCTCTCCCTAGCATAAGAAAAAGGTAGTTCAAAGCAAAGCCCTCCCAGGAGTCAGTGTACAAGTTGGCTTTATCTCATGGGTTTGGAGTGGACCAGCAGCAAGCCATTGTTTTTAAAAAAGTTACTACTGCTTCAGGATGTTCACTGAAGTTCCTAGTCATGGCTTGTACCTGATTAAAGCATTAATTTCCATTTACTGAGGTGGATCAGTTTCCTCCACATAAAAACTGCAGTTTCCTTGAGCACGTCCCACCACAAATCTGAAACCAAAGATGACACTGGGTAATTGTGCTATAATGAGGGACTTGGAAATAGCCTAAAACCAGAAGTCGGTTGTTTCTAAACAGAAACGAAGTAAGGGTTAGGTTGATGTAGATGGTTCAGGTATTGTAAGAGAAATACACATGCTCTCTTATCCTTATTTTCTCTTTCTATATGTACTTTGAAAGATATTAAGCTATCAGAAAGGAAGGGGAAAGCTGAAGTACATGAGAGAGCTGAATGTGAAGCCCACAGCCTGTTGTCATGCCCAGCCTTCGCTACCTACCTCCTGCTACATGAGGAGCTGTTTCATCATGCCAAATCTGCCAAGATCTAGTTCAGGGCAGGGAAGAAAAAAAAAAAAAAAAAAGGAAAACAGGCTGCCAAGTTGATCGAGCTGATCCAGCTCATGGAGGGCTCCACAAATGTCTGGAGCAGCACTACAGAGAATCAGGCAGGGAAAAGGGAACCTTTCTGCTGGGCTGGCTGTGCTGCCTCGTGAACTTCACCCCAGGCACAAGGACAGATTGCGGCTCTGCTTCAGCGCGTCGTTTGCATCACTGTGGCCCAGCAGCTTAGTAGCTGGGAGGGAGGAGGGAGTCACTGCAAATGTGCAGCCTAAGGAGATTCAAGTAGCTCAACAGAATTGCTCCAACAGCAGGAACAGTAACTCAAAAAGGGGCTTTGCTCTGGTCATCTCTGCTTTGCCCATTTCCAACATTCCAGCAGGCCAGCCAGGCCTGTCCCCACACAGCACCTGCCACCTAGGTGGTATTAAAGACGTCTGAATGGTCACACTGCGCACAGCCCTGATGAATGTCCTTCCAGAGCGAGCACAGCCCAAAGAAAGCACTTCTGTGTCACCACTGCAGCCCCCAGCCCGCTGAAGGTGCTGCAGGGAAGCATGACACAGCCTGCTAACGTGCCCAAGCCCTCAGCATGCAGGGGACAGGCTGGGCAGTCGCCATTCAAAACCACTGCCTTGGGTACCATTTCGTTTCTCAGCTGATTCAAGCACAAAAGGCCACAGAGAAATTGCAAACGGGCAACATGGAAAGAACAAGCAGTGTAAGATGCCTTCACCCACCGCTAGAAATCAGCAGCACAAAAAAAAAAAAAAAACAAGCCACTGCTCTCCCTTCTTATCATCCTCACTGCTCTCCCTTCTTATCATCCTTATTCACAACCCATCTGCACTGTGCTCCCCAAACTGTTCCTGTGTGTGAACCGGAGCCTGCCGGGTTGCTCTGGCACGGGACAATCGGACATGGTGGCACCTCTGTCTTGCCACGCTCAGCCTAGAAGCCAAAGGGAAGGAAGAACAGCACGTGACACCAAAAGCAGGTATTAAACAGGCCTGTATCATGCACACATCGTACTCACCAACTGCAGAGAGCGAGACTGTAGGCTTCCGGGTGTCTCTGAAACACAACATGGTGCATGTGAGTACCGGTGCGCAGCTCCAGCCTCGCCAGCCAGCTCCTCGCTCCTTCAATACTGCCTCTTGGTGCCTCTCGGGAGTTAACATGCCTCCTGCTTACTTAAAAGTGCAAATCTAAAGCTAAAATACATCAGGATAAATGAAACACAACACAGAGGGGACCAGCTGGAGGGCACCACCCGTTCCGTCCCGCCAGTATGTAGAGCAGCAAATGATGACGTTGGACAGAGTTGGAGAGGACACGAGTGTGGGGGACGTGCACGCAGGGTGGCACACTGCTGCCAGGCAGCCACAGGAAAGTCTGGGCTCACTGTGTCGTGCAGGAAGCAGCAAAACAGCCTTTCCCAGGAAAATTAAGCAGAACAGAGTGGAAAAAACTTGAGAGAAAAGCCACTGATGTGATCGTCAAGTCTTTGCGGACCCTGATTCAAGGCATACAGAACGGTGACTTCAGCACAAAGACTTCATGTGCAGGATGTAACAATAAAATTAGGAGGAAATAAATCCAGCTGGGCAGACTTTACAAAACCAAGTCCTGCAGTGGCATAAGCCAGCGTGGCACCATGACAACTCAGAGCAGCCAGGACTTGGACCAAGGCAAAAACCCACTTCTTGACATTGGTCCTCAGAAAGTCATCTGCCATTTAATGAAAAAGACTTTCCCTCTTAAAAAATTCTGCTTCACCAGCTTGTCTTTTTTTATGTGTGTGTGTGCGTGTGAAATTAAGAGGGGAGTTTCCAGGTACCTTTACTGCAGCATTACCTGCCTTGGGCTGCTGCCTCACCAGGAGGTTCCTCTGCTGGAAGCCAGCAGCCCTAGGACCTCCTTGCCCAAGGATGCTCAGAGATGCCACTAGGCCAAGCGGGATCTAAAAGCTAGTCAGACTGTATGAGCAATCACATCCCTGGACAAACAACACACACAGACACAAAATGATAGGAGGGCAAATACAGGGGCTTCTGATACAACCCTTGGACAGGTCTTTGTTTGCTTGGCACTAATGACAGCCCCATGGGAAAATACAACGAGCAGTTACTCATTCTCTCTGTCTTTTAATTACACATTAATAACATATTGTGATTCTCAAGTACCATTTAACCAAGGATCTAAGTGCTTCACATGAGCTAAACAAGCCTCAGGGCACCCTGGTGCAGTGAGGTTACATAATTATCCTTCTGTTATAACTGAGCAAGACAGAGAGGAACAAATGGGGTCACAAAGCCCCTGCAGCGACAGTAGGAGAGCCCAGGAGTCCCAGAACAGCTCCTTGCTCCTCAGGTGTCAAATGCAGGGACTTGGCATGGCTGATTTTGTAAAGATCTATTGCCTTGAAATTAACCATATGATACAAAGCATCAGGAATCAAGGGAATAAGTGAACTGAAAAAGGTTCCTAATTACTGGTGCCAGAACTCCCACTGTTGCCAAAGTCAGCAACGATCATTGAAAATAGTGGAAAAGAAAATGGCTGCAGAGCCATCAATCTGCTCATGGCACATTGCTTCACTTGGCCAAAAAAAAAAAAAAAAAAAAAAAAAAAGAACACTGCTGGGATCCAGGAAGGGCTCCCAAGGACAGATCTGAAACTGGCAGGGAATGAAGCCATTCCTTCCAGTCAATGACTGTGGCATAGCATGACCACTCTACTGCCCTACATTGACTCTGAACTGGCTTGAAAGCCTGGGAAAGGAAACATCTGAGATTAAGGGAAGCAGCTGAAGCTCCTGCAGACACTGCTGAGAAAACTGCATGCATTAGTGGGGGCTTCACCCTTCAAGCTACCAACTGCAGAAAGGAGCCCACTAGTCTCCTTGCAAGGCAGAAGCACTGGTTCTTACTTGATATCCCAAATGTAGATGTATGTGTCAACAGAACTGGTGACCAGCAGGTCTGGTTCGAACACCGCCCAGTCCAGGTCACTGCAAATGCAAAGCCACATCAGGTCAGAGAGAAGCACAGTTTGCACCAATTTCTCCAAGACTCCAAGACATTTCTAATAAATTTCTACCTTCTAACAAAGTCACACCAATTCCGTGATAATCACTAACACCCCCTTCAGTAAAAAGCAAGCTTTTAACCGTTTCTTTAAGTAAACTTTTAAGACGCGATGAAGCATCCTCCCAGCCCGACCTTTACAGCTGCAATGTCTGTGCACTTCCCTTCTTGGGGAAGGGGACACAAGAGCAGCGGGTTCTTGGCCTGACCAACCCTTCCTCCTGCAATTCTTCCCGCAGGGCTCACCTGGGACACAAACAGCCTCCAGTCGGCCCAAGCAAGAGCCATTTCAGGTGCCGATTCCCCATCACGCTGGGAAGCTGGAACCCGAGAGCAAAGCCGCTGCTTCACTCGCGCCTCCAGCCCGGAGCCGAGGAGCGTCTCCCACGCACCCGTGTAACACGCTAGGAACTTGGCCTTTGGGATGACCTACTTTAATTAATCTGCTGTCACCGGGCGACATGGCTGGGGAGCAGTTTAATAATTGTGCTGCTTTGTGTGCAGCTACTGCTCATTAGGAGGACGGCTGCCCAAGGCAAGGACAGCCCAGCTGTCCAAGGTGGGATACGATACGCTGGCGGGAGCCATCGGGGCTGAGCTGCTTCGCATCACCCATCTCCACAGAAGGCAGGACAGAGGGGCAGACAAGTGTGTAAAAACATGCTGAACTTCTCAGAGCAGAGCCCAAGCACGGCCAGAACTGGACCAACACTGGCCTTGGGTGAAAACTACCCACTCTTTTCTTCCCAGCAGCCTGCGGCACCACTTGTTCCTCACCTGATCACACGTGTGTGTCCTTGCAGTGATGTGCAAACTTCCCCGTTACCTTCTTTCCACTTATACAGGTCAACTCGCTGATTGCTCTGAAATGAGATGGAAAAAAAGACAAGGAAACGGTGACAGGCAAACAAGGTAGCCGAGGAGCCCGCGTGTGTCAAGACCAGGTTCCCCTTTCTTTCAACAACCTCAGGTACCTGCTGAATCACACTGAATAGCACAGACAAAGCAGAAAGGAAACAGAGATGAACCTACAGGCTGTAAGGAACCTCAGAAGCCTAAACTTTGATCACGCCCACTCAAAATTGGAGATAAAGAGGAATGGGGAAAACCCTATTGAAAAACGTTTGCGTGAAATGATGTTCTCAAAGCTTTTATTTCCTCACAGCATGCAGTGACTGAAGGCAACAAGCAGCCAAATTCTCTCTGCAAAAATATCCTGCCAGTCTGTTCGGATTCACAACGGGAGTTTCCAGCGAGGGGGGTTGCTCAGCGAGTAAGTGCTTATCACTGACTGCAAACCACAGAAGCCAGGCACGTGAATCAACATTATTAGTTAAGGCTCCTTAACCAATTCTAGGAATAATACCCCTCACGTCCCCCAAATGCAACCACACAGGAAGTTACTTGAAACTAATATTTTAAACTCATGTTCTGCATTAAAGTTCACTGTATTTCTGCATTAAAGTTCACTGTAGTTCAGGCCAGTATAACTCTTCTGGGTCAGAAATAAAAGGGTCTTTTCGGTTGCAAATACAGCACTGAGCACTAGGGGAATTCACGGTGATTTTGCAAAGGAGAAATAACAGAACTTCAGAACTTGACCTTTATTAGCTCCTCATTTCCAAGTGCACACATAGATGAGGGCAAAGGTAATAAAGTACATATTTATTTTACATTTTTGCACCATTTTTTTTTACCCAAAGGTACTTTATAAGAATATAAGCCTGCAGAAGGAGAGAAAACTACCCTTCTCCAAGATGGAAAGCCTTCTCCCAAACCAGCAATAATATATGGCATTTTTCTAACAGCTCACAGCAGGGCTGCACAAAAGCTTGGGGCAAGGAAAACTCCTTGCAAGCTTCTCACTGACAGAAGGATTTAAGAGTGAAATTACTCAGAGCATTTGTCATCAACTTGGAGGTCGATGACAGCAGATAATCATCACCCAAAGTTTCCCAGTTCCTCTGAGAGGAGCATCCCATGCACAGTGTTGCCTTTAGCACCAGGTGTGGGACAGCTCTTCCAATCAGGAGCACTTTCTAAACAGCTTCGCTCCCAATAAGCATCAGCATTTACTTCTAACAGTTTCATCATTCTCTTGTTGGAGCGTTTGTGACCACCCAAAAGGACTGTGAGGGACCTGGAATGGGAAACAATGGCATTTCTGACACCCCAGACTGAGGGAAACACTTATGTGCCCAGGCAGGACCTCAATGCCATCATTCTGAAACAAGACCCATTCCTGTGTCCACTCAGGGCAGCAAGAGACAGGGGTGCTGACCGAGGTGAGACTGGGACTGGGCTGCTTTGGAACAGGGTCCTGCTCAAATCAGTATTAATCATCACTGGATATTGCTTGGTCTGGAGAACGGCGCTGCCGTGAACGCTGCCAGCAGGAGCTTGGCACGGCGTGAACGACTTGCAGCATGCGGCAGAGCACGTAAAGATGAGGGCTCCATCAGAACCCCAGCCTCACGTGGCTGCTACCCCAACCCTGTGTAGATGTGGGTTTCTGCACTGGGTTTCTCCACTGCTTCTGCAGAGCTGCTTATTTACTTCGCTCACTGAAGGGGAACTCCTCAGTGCCTTGGTCCCTGGCCCCCGTGCGAGCTGGGAGCGCCGCGTGCCAGATACAGACTGCCTGGTGCACCACATCCCGCGAGTAATGCGGGGAGCTGGAAATGAAGCAAGAAATTCCGTAAGCGAACAGAGCTCCGAACAGAGAGGAGGTTAGAAACGTTTGGAGCCCATCTGCCCTTCAGTCTAGAAAAGGCTTGTTTGGGTGCCTGATTTATTTGGCAAAGTGGTTTTTTTTTCCACAGAACACAAACAAGCAACACCTAGATTCAATAATGACTGTCCAGTGAGAAGCATCCAGTGAAACACCTCACCAAAAATAAATTAATATTAGGCTTTGATCTTCCAAGTATGACTCGCAGAGGGATGCCTGTGCCTCGCGCGCCTGCGGAAGCCCCCTGTGAAGGACTCGGGGAGATGAAGCGTCAGCTGCGTCGCCTTTTCAACGTGGGGACTTACAGAGGCGGCGAAGTAAAACGCGTAGCTGTCGTGCGGATTCCACTGCACCGCGCCGATGTCCCACTTGCTCTGGCGGGAGATCTTCCGATGACCCTCGTTTGGCGCATCCAGGTTAACGATGTAGAGGAAGCGGCGGCTGCGGAGACACGGAGGGGCCGCGTCACGCGGGGCTCCCTGCTCAGCACGGAGCCAACGGCCTAAAGCACTGCAGGAGAAGCGTGTGACAAGCCGTATGGAAAAGGAAATTCCTGAAAATGCTACACTTGAGCATACAGTTCAGAAAGGGTTACATAAAAAGGAAAAAAAAAAAAAAAAGATGACACAAATTAGATAGGTTCTGCATGTCTAACGGGTCACCCAGACCCCAGGAAAATGTAGATAACTGGAGACAAAAGGAAATGTTAGGAAATGGTGCAGAGATCCCTGGATAGGCTTCGCTGGTCTAGTGTGGCACCTGAGCTGAGGGGCTCGGCGCTGGCAGTGCCATGTGGAGGCTTCGGCTTGGGCAGGCTGCTCCGAGCAGCAGCTAACGAGCCCTGCAGACCTCAGCCCTACACGGCCGAGTCTCCACACCCCACGGCTCAGTGCGGTCTGCCGACGCTGGAACACACCTGCACAAAGCTGGCTCAGCTGGGAGCAAGTTCACGGACACGGGCACAGCACTGCAGTGGTTACTTTACCTACCTGCAATAACCCTATGTGCAGCAAAGGGCTACCTGCCTGCTGCTGCAAAAATGCTGCTGACCCCGAGCGAACGCATCCCGCTGCCCATGAAGCTTGGTGAGGTCCCATTCCTTCCTGTGGGATTAATCTGCAGGCAGGATAAACTGCACAGGGATAGCTGAGAGCCAGCTGGGTGTCAGCCACACCGCAAGCAAACAGCAGCTCCAAGCTCTGTATGTTTTCCAAAGAAAAGAAATGGGAAGAAACATCCTTTCTGCCTTTCCAGACAGAGCCCTCGGGACTGCTTGCTCCAAAGTGTGAAGGTGACAAGCCCTCTGAGGCAGTTACACAGTATAAAAAAGAAAGAAGGCAAAACCTGTCAGGTTGCTGAGCATGTTGCAGGAGAAGCTGGGACCAGCAGAGCTCCGCACGGCAGCCCCGCACATGGGGACACGCACCATGGGACCCACAGTCCCTAAAACACGGACCGGGGCTCGGACACAGAGCCCAGGCAAAGCTTGGCTGCATCCGCATGATCCCGGATTTGACGTGAGCCTAGAAGTGGAGCCTGGAGCCCCTGCTGCAGAGGGGCCCCCAGAGCGGAGCTGCCGCTGCAGGATGCCGCACGGCCGCAGCGACACAGCGCGCGCAGACACCCCGCGCGCACAGAAAGCCCCTCCGCAGCGCCTGATCGAAGGCACAGAGGCAAACAAGGCAAAGGCTCACGTGCACAGGAGCGCATTGCTGCCAGGTCCACTCTGCTCGCACCTCACAGGGGAGGCGATAGAAACGTGTAAAAGGGTAGAAAACAATTTGGAGAAAGCCAAAGCAGTAGAGGTTGGGCTCTTGCTGAGTACTGTCCTGCATGGAGCCAGAGGAACAGGGCAGAGAGCTTTGGTTCCTCTTCCCAAATGTACTACTCGAATGTTTAAAGTAAGCGTGGTCTTATGGAAATGCTTTAATCTGTATTTCAAACAGAAGCCAAACAGTCATAACCGATGTTCCATCCCCCTTGCAAGGGGATTCAGCAAGGCATGCACCAGGAAAGCCACGACTCTGCTTTACTTTGTTGCTGCTGCTGTTTTTGAACCTCCAATCCTTTGTGCAAAGCCTTGGAGAGAATTCAGCTGCACCTTTCCGAAACAGAATGTCAGCTTTCCGAGCGGGGTCAGCCTGAGGGCTGCTCATGGCTTGCGGAAACGGCTGTCACACGTCGCTAAAGGGAATTGTCACACTCACCCCGAAAGCACTGCGCGCTGTCCCAGACAGTCCACCGACATTGCGGTTGCCTGTGGAAGAGAAACAAGGAACAAAACTAAATTACACCCGTCAGTTCAGCTCCTCAGCCCCACGCGGCTCTGGGGAGGAGCTTGGGAAAAGCCGCCGGCTTGTCTCCAAGGCCCGACCGGCTACGGTGACAAGGAATCCCGATATCCATGAGGAATGGCGACAGCCCCTTATGGGATCGTGGACGGGCGATGGGGTGCAGCAGGACAGCACCAAAAAAATGTCCTTTTTGAAGCAAATAAAAGGCAAGACACGGCACACACCCCTGCAAGCCCTGAGACCTTGCTACCTTCTCCCTCCTATGCCAGTCACAGCTGCAGCCTCTCAATCAGCAGGCTCTAACAATCCTTATTAATCAACTTCTGTTGCCTCCCAGGAGCTCTCTTGGTCTCCGCCTTCCTTTCCAGGGCCAGATTTATTTATTTAGGTACTGGGAGAGAAAAGTGCAACCGTTTGCGTACGGCTGGTCTCCAAAAAAGAGAGCTGCTAAGAGGCCTGAGGATTTGCTTTGCAGGTGCTTCTGCTGAAGGCTGAGAGATCACTTGAGCGCCACTAAAGGGGAGGAAAAAAGGAGAAGAAAAAAAGGGAAAAAAATAATCCAAAAACTGTCTCAGCGTTATCTTCCTCCAGACTTACATGAGCCAATCACCTCGTTTACTTGCCAAGGGACTAAAGGGAAATTTGACTTGAAAAGTTGAGCAGTTCAGCCCACAAACACAGAACTGACTTCAATGCAGTTTTTTGCCTTCACAGTATAAAACCCAGAATATGCCCCAGCTTCAAACCAGCTGCTGTCATCTTCAAAGCGACCTCTCTGAAAGCTCTGCATGTCTCTGCTGCTGTTGAGGATTTTGCCAAGCGTTCTCCATATGGATTTAACAAGACCTTGCTTGGAAGCATCGCTAAAACTAGACGGATGGTACATCAATCCCATTGCATTTCAACCAGATCTGACAGGAGCATAACGAGAATACAAACATTTTTTTTTTTTTCCAAGCACCATGAAAACAGCCCACCGGGAAGGAGGCCCCAGCGCTACCTTGCAAGACCCCAACTGGGGCTAAGACTGCAACCCGGGGTCTCTGCATCCCGCACAGGCAGAAGAGCTACAATGTGAGGACTCAACAGGAGCCCACACTGTACCTGGAGCAACATCCGAGCAAGACGGGTTTCATCAGCTCTGCTGTTTCTACCTGCTTTTATTGGCCCCTCATTTTCCTCCTCCTCTAGTCTGGCAAAGTTTTTCTGCTCCTAAAACTAAATTTCCAAATAAGCGACCAGTTTTTAAATCTCTGAATCTTCCTCTACAATTTTTCTCTAATCTCTGAGGAAGTAACTCCAGCTTTCTAGATAGCAGAGCACCTTGCAAGCAACGCTTCCAAAGTGAGTTATTACATTTGTGACAATTTATAGAGGACATTTTCACACCATATACGTGTCGCTTGTGATGAATCAAAATGAGGAGCACTGAAGGCGTTCCTGAAATCAGAGCCTTCTTGTAGGGCAGAGCCAGTCAGCAGATACATTTCACACACCTTTTGCTATCTTTTCCTGGGACAGAAAATACCTACCAGTCAGTGTTAAGTGGCTGATAATTTTATATATGAGTTTATTGCCTGGTGTTGGCATGAGGATCTTAAATCCTTACAAACTGCTTTTAATAATGAACACCAGTAAAGTTTTTCCGGGCACTGCACATCATAAAACATCATGACTGATCAGAATGAAGTTAAAAAGCTTCATGGTTCAGGCTACTGTACTGCTGGGTCACGTTATGGCGAGATCTTCCCTCCAATATTCCAGCCTCTGCTCTAGGCAACAGAAGAAAGAAAAAAAATCAGCTGTCAGGTGCATTTATTGTGTTTTGCATACTGATCCATGTATCTTTGCAGTACAGCCTTCCAGAAAGTGCAGCTGAAAATGAACTGACCAAACCGCAAACAGATTTTACCCTAAAACACGCACCAGGATGCCTGGAGTCACGGTTAATATCTGACAGTTACATCAATGTTAGGGGCACCGCACGTTTAAAACCAACCCTGAGCCCACAGCCCTACGAGTATCTTCTCAGACTTCAAACATTTACTTTAGCATTCGATTTCTGCTTAGGCAAGTCCCAGAAAACACCTTTGCCTGAATGGCAAGAGATTTGCCAGGACTACATTGATTTTTAGACCGCAAACTGTTGGCACGAGGGAGGAGTAGCTGGCGTGGCACGACTTGCCACCCGCACAGCCCGGTGCCACTGGCAGCACCATTCTGTAACCGACACAGCAAGTTTTACTCTTCTTTTCAAGCAGCGACAGCCTGAGGAGAGCACCGAGGCTGCTGCCTAAGCCGGTTTCTGTAGAGAAATGCCATTTGCACACAACATCTGCCCCAAACTACCAAAGGATTTTCTGCTCACGTTCCATGTGGGAGAATAGGAAGGGGAAAGCCATTCCACAGGGATCACCAGTGGCATGAACTGAAGCAACTGAAACGCCTCCCTAATGCAGGCATAAATCAGCACAATGGCTGGACTGGAACCGAGTGCTGAGGAGGGTTTCAGCACTCGCTTCTTCCCCTTTCTCCTCTTTGCTCCCACACAGCCCGCGGTGAATAAGCCATCAAATGATACGGCCGTGACTCTCCCGAGGCGGATGAGGGGCGAAGCCGTGATCCAGCATCAAGCACTCGTGCCTCTCATTACCACTTTCTTGAGAGTAAAACCTTTACAAACGGCGTCACGGTCTCCAGACAAGGTGGGAACTTTTGTTTCACGAGGAAAATAACATGGATATGAAGGTTTTTTTTTATGCATATAAACTGAAAAGTTCTGTCAGCTACAAAACACAGGGTGGGTTCAACACATATGGGAGGCAACGCATTTCTTGGAAACAGCGAGCATGGAGCTGACTTTGCTTTCGCACAAGGCGACAAAACTACAAGATAAGAGTTTTTTCAGGCCTATTTTTTCCTTGATATCTTACTGAAGTAATTCACACACTGCATTCAGCTTCGCGAAGTAATTACCAATACCCTAAAATGAATAAATAAGAAACCCTGCTTCTTAGAATAACTTCTGAGAAAGCACGCAAGCAAACCCTGAAGGGAGTTCTACTGTAAACAGCAACTTCAACAAAGAAAAGTTGAGGTTTTTGCTAGCGAGAAGCCTAACCCGCTTTTCCTGCTAACCGAGCAGTATTCAGTGATTAATACCCGCAGCCACGAAGGTTGCTATGATGGTCCAGGAGGAAAAGAAGGGCAAGGTGAGTGGGAAGCGGCACCGTCTCCTACAAGGCCCGGGGATGGGGCTGAAGGAACAGGCGCGTGTCCAGCAGTTAGTTAAGGCTGGAACAAACCG